AGCTGTAGCTCCGTCCCAATCCCACTTCTTCATCAAGCTCCTCCAATTTGGGTTTAGATGCCCCATATGCAACGAACACCTTGAAACATGTTTCTAGGACCTCATCCTGTGTTCTCGATTTGTCGGCTTCTAATAATATACCCAGAATTTCCATTGTGAGTCAGTGAGAGCTTTCTAGCTCTAAACGGTAACCTAGCTTCTTTCTGATAGCTACTGCGATTGATGAAACATGTTCCAGCTGAATCGTCCCGTGATCTCAACTCCAACAAGCTGAATTTAGTGTCTTCCTAGCAAAGCTCGGCTGTTCATCACAGTTTCCAGGTATCTACGAGCCCCTTTATGCCTTTATAAACTAAACATGACGAAACTATTTACTTCTATCAATTTATTTTCTCAAAAATATTTTAGATACACTATAGTCGTAAAAAATGCATATTTGAAATCACTTAGACCTATAACTAATATAACATCTGAACAAATAAACAATGTGTGAATAAATGCGCGAAGTTAACAAAGAAACAATTGAAATATTACCATTGAGTAACATTACCTTTATTTTTTATTACGGCTGAAATTCTTTGGGGCATAGTGTTAACCAAGTTTTGGAAAAAATTTGGTGTAAAACAATCCCATATTTCTTGAAGCTTATGTATCAGTTCGGTCATTGTACGAGCAGGATGTTGGCGTAGAACCTTTTTCATCTCGTGCCACAAAGTTTCAATAGGTGACAGACCTGGACTGCTAGAAACCCATTTCAAAAGTGGTACATTATTTTATTCCATCCATTTTATAGCCTCTTTTGAGGTATTGCACGCTGCACCATCTTGCTGAAACACAAAATCTTGACCGGATGTCAAACATTCTTCCATCACTGGTAAAAGCGATTCTTCTAAAATAACCAAATATTTGTGTGTATCCACATTTCCAACAATGAAATGAAGTTTTCCTACTCCTTTTGGTGACATACCGCCCCAGACCATAATGGATGCTAGAAATTTCACTTTTCTCTTCCGTCAACATGGAATGCTTCATTTTTTTGCGAATAACTCTATTGCGATTGTCACCAACAAAAACTTCGAATCGGGCCTCATCACTCCATTGTGTTGCACACCATTGTTGAGGTGTCCATTGTCTATGTTCTTTAGCCCATCTAAGCCGATTTTTCTTTTGCAGTAGAGTTAATAGTGGCTTTTCTTTGGCCAATGAACAAGTTGTGCAACTTTAGGGTTTTTACTTCACTTTTTTTTATAAGAAAACTTACCTTGCAAGTGCTAAATGCCAGTTTGTGGGCCTCTCTATGAGTTGTGGACCTCGAAGTTCTCCTTCCAACAGCGTCACTCCACAGAGCACTTAATTGTAAATAATTGGCACGCCTGTTTTTCACGATTATTCTTCTTAATGCTCTTCGGTCGGCATTTGTGATATTACTTTTTTCACATATCGTGGCTTAATGTTAACTGAACCAGTTACGTTATATCTTCTAACAATATTTCTCACACTGTACCGCGATAAGTCTAACAAAGTTGCAATTTCTGAGTTTGATTTCCCAGAATTAAAAAATTTAATTATCTGACTAATAACCTTTCCTCTACCCATTTTGAAAAGCTTAACTACCCAAAACTATTTTAAACGTATTCTGACAACTGTGATTAATAAAAACAATTGTCATGGCTTTTATTTTTCACAGTCACCTATGCGTTATAGACTTATTTTGCATTGAAATGAAAATAGGTTGATATGCTGTAATTGCAACATGTGTTATTTTTATGCTGCAAATTTGATTAGGGAGTGATAAATTTGGTGTTTTCTACTATATATTATCAAAATATTCATTGTTTATATTTTAAACCTATAACACCCCGCTACATTTTTATTATTTGTGTTTGATAAGATTCCAATAGTTGGGCCAACTGAAGTGGGAAGGGGCTCGTATATCCACCTACCGTTAGTTGCTATAATGAATATAAATAATCAAAGTGGATAGAAAGAAGTTGGTGGCAAACCCTGTTTTCACCGTAAGACGACATACCTACCTGATATTCAAATAACAGAGTGACTTAAAATGCCGGTTACTCGGTTAGTAGGATATTAAGTAGTCAGTCAGTCAGTCTACTCGTTAGGTAGATATGCTAGTATTCTGTTGAAGCTACCAAAAATGTAATTTTTGAAAATACAATTTACTAGCTGTTGTAGAATATGTTTTGCTTTCCTAGAAACCTACGAACTTCACATACCTACCTACTGTTTATTACATTGTCAACGTTACTATATGTAGATTGTTACTGAAGTATTGTCGCATGTACTAGGTGTAGGAACGAGATTAGGACCAAAGGTATAAAGTCAAACAAGTTTAAATATTGTTCCATCAAACTAAGAACTCAAAACAGACTTCGCTTTTCATTTCTCATCCATCATTCAAATCACAACAGGAATTAACACTAACGATTCATTTCCGGCGTCATCTACCGTCTCATATATAAGACACGAATAAAACCTTTATTGACCCCAATAGTTTGACAATCGTTACAACGAAGCCCATGAGATGGCGCCAAACGTTTTATTGGGCTGCCACCTCTCGGCAATAACCAGAACTCCCAATAATCTGTGAATAGCTTTCTGTGCACGTATTTAATAAATCAACTGAATTACTAGCAGGTAGCGCTGCAAATAGTTGCATGTACTACCATCTGTTTGACAAACTGTGTAGCAATAAATATGGATTAGTCTTTTCGGTGGTCTTTTCTCTGGTTGGTTGTCTTAATATACTGGACTGCCATGTGCAACAATTTTTCTGTATTTTTCTATCCTTAATTACACGATATTACACTTTTGAAAATTAATTTTCCTAAATGTTTGTAACTGAATTCGGACAACTGTGCTACGGTTCAAGTAGTATAGTCAGTATACTGTGCCTATATTAGGAGGAATAAGATTGCTGACCGAATACCTAAGCATTTTGGATATAAGTTATCTGAATTCTAAATCTGACTTTTGGGTGGCAGTTCCTTTTCCTTTTCCCAGACGGCCTGGGAACCCTTTCACTTATCGCAATGATGGACGGTTGACGATCTGGTACATTCTCTCCAAGATAACTTCATCCACTCTTTCATACGACAAATCAGTGGTTATACAGGAAATTGTTGCTTGGTTTAAGTCACAGTCTTATTTCATTGTATTTTTATATACACTTGTTTTGCCAGCGTGAGCAGCAACTTCATTTAATGTTTCACAATCCATTTTAGGATATATTGTTTTGTTCTTGGTAGGTTTAAGCTTTCCTACCTCCTGTTTTTTATTTTGTCAAACTTGCTTAAATTGTATTGTACTTATTATGTCACATTAAATTCTAGGAACTGGATTAGGAGCAAAAGTCTAAAACCAAATAAGGTTAAATATTCTTCCACCAAAAAGACGACTTTTCTTGTCATGCATCATTCAGAATTCAGATCGTAATAAGCAATCCCAATATCTCATTCCTGGGTCCTGGCATCATCTGCTGTAAGATCTGTGTCATGCGCCATACAATGTAAGGACCTCTATAGACCCAAACAAGGAATGGTGATCCTTAGATCTAATTTCACTAGATGGCGCCAAAAATTGTAGTGTTTCACCATCTTTCGGTAACCAACTGAACTCTCAAGACTCCGGGTATAGTTTCCTGTATGAATATCCAATAAAATAACTTTTTTTATAGTAGGTGACGCTGAAAATGTAACAGATGCCGCCATCTGCTGGACAGACTGTAAAGCAATGAATATGCATATATGAGTCTTTTGTCTTGTTGTTCGTTTTTAATAGCAATCGAATAGATGTCACAACAAGCATCCTACTGTATTGCCCTGTGTAGATAATAATTTTTCGGTATTTCTGCGATTATATACCAGGAAATAAACATATTTTTCCATTTGTCAATATGATTACTCTTTGGCAAACTAATCTTCCTAAACGATTAAGTAACTGAATTCGTACCTAGTATAGTAAGTATGTAGGGTAAACCGAGGAAAGATGGCCATATTTTTTTTCATCGTCTGTAATATTTTGAATAATTGGGTTTTAACAAAAAATATAATATTTTAGGGTAGGGCATGGTAATTTTTATTGGTTGCTGTGTGCAAATTTATTATAAATATGGTTTTTCATGTTGTTGATAAATATCGGTATTCTTTATACCTATGTGGGCCATCTCTCCTATAGTGTTTAGTAGAGATGACCCTATGATAGAAGGTGAGATGGCCATCTGAAATTTAAAGAAAATAATAAGTTTTATAAAAATACTCGTGAAATACCTATGAGGCTTTATTATTACATATAACAGAAAAAAAAACTAAAAACTCAATAGCCAATCCTTTTGTCAAAAAAGTAACTCACATTAAAAAACTAACTCAGTGAATTAACTATAAATCACTACAACAAAAGAACAAAACAACATATTTTTTTGTAAAAAAACACGTTAATAGTTCAAGAACAAAAGTTTATTATTTTGTGCAACGAAGGACTACTGCTAATCTCATGTTTTCGGCAAACAAAAACCACAGACAAATTGTTTGGCAGAATTTGATCCACTACAAAGTTTGTGGATCCACAACCACATACGGTGCATCTAAACCATAATTCGTTGTCTTTTCCGAACTCCCCACAAACAAAACAGATATCGTCCTCGTCTCTTGAGGAGTCACTATCATAGGATGAAACTTGCGAATCCGAAGAGCTTCCATCTCTTTTGGTCTTCTTTCTTATTTTTGTCCTACTCTTGGCCCTTTTGTTGCCAAAATTTGCTCTTTTGCCAGAACTAGTTGAAGGCATATTTTTTAAATTGTTATTTTTTCCGAAGTTTGTTTGTTTTTCTGTGTATTTTTCTTTGAGTCTAAGAAGTTCACAGATGTTAAAATATTTGCGATGGATTTTGATGTTTCTTTTGTAGACTCGATTCGAAGCTTTGGCACAGGTCAAAGTTCTTGCAATAATTTGCTCGGTGTTTCGTTTTTATTTCGATAGGCTCTTCAGACAGCAAAAGTGGCACTCCACCTTCTTGACATTTCATTAGCATCTACGTGATCGGCAATGGAAAATGCATAATCCGGGATTATGTCCGGATTAAAAGGGTAGATACCGGTAGCTCTAAAGCCTGAAGTGGCATTTTCCGGCGTGGCAGATTTACCCCAACAATCCGATAGGAGCTCTCCAAATTGGTATCTAGTGATGAGTCTTCCTGCATGTTGTTTAAGCCACAGCTGACAGCTTTTATAAAATGCGCTTTTAACCGATTTAAATACCGACCGGTCGAGTGGTTGCAGGTAATGCGTACAATGGCTAGGAAAGCATAAAAGAATGATGTTGTGTTCTTTGGCATACTGTAGCATTTCTACCTATGAAGAGTGAGACGTATGGCCATCAAGTAGGAGAAGCGTTGTGCCTTCTGGTTTCCTGGCTACAAAGTGTGTTTTTAGCCACCTTACGAATAAGTGGGAGTTCATGTACGCTGACTTCTTCGACAAAAACAGCTGAGAACCAGGAGGCATTTTGTCATAAAGTTCATGTTTTAAATTTTTTCCTTTCATAATAGCGACAGGAGGAAGAAGGTGCCTTCGGCGTTACAGCAGGCAACAACTGTTACAGTCTCGCCCTTTTCTGCTGAAGCAGCTGACAAAACTCCTTTTGATCCTTTTGCTGCCAAAACTTCCCCCGGTCTTGTATTTAACTCTCGACCATATTAAAAATATTTTTCGGGTTTTTCAAGAGATTGTTTTCTTCCAGAACACTCTGTAGTACTTTAAAGTAATCAATTACTACCTTTTTAGACATTGCTGTGCACCTCGCCAACGACAAACTTTCTGTTTTTCGAACCGATACTTGTGGATGTCTGGTGAGAAATGAATGCAGCCAAACGTAACAAGCTTTCTGAAGCTCATTATTAAATTTATGTTTCAGGCCCAGCTGAACAGCAAATTTATACGCCATGGTTCGCAAATCATCTATAGTAAGTGGAAATCCACTTTTTGCATTTCTTTAATATGTCCAACCAGTCTTTTTTCATGTGAGGCCCGGAAATAGTGTCTGGACCCAATTTCTTCTTATGGTCTTCATTCTGTTAAATCCGCCTTTCCAATGTCTTTCTCGGAATACCGAAAGTTTTTCCAGCCTGACGTACAGATTTTAGTTGCTCCTCGGTCCATTTGGCTCTCTCCAATGATTTTCTTTTGTAAATATTCGGCATCTAAAATAAATACAAATGATCTACGATGGCCATCTTACATAGGAAATAAGTGGGCCATCTCTCCTTTTCTTCGAGGATAGATGGCCATAGCATGATTTAGATTTTATATACGTTAATTCGAGTAAAATGTTTAGGCAACACAAAACACACCACGCATGGTAAAAGAAACACTAGACGGACTAGACCAATAAAATTTTATGAAATTTGGCTAGTGGAAAAATGTATTAAAAAACTATTGAACCCATGTAAACAGTAATTTTAAAATAATTTACCTTTAAACTTAGAGTTTCTAGTATAGCACGATCACACAACAGTAGAATACGCCATATTGGAAAAAACGCCCTCTAATAACTATTTAGGAAAATATCGAGTTGGGCCATCTCTCCTCTATGGCCATATAACCTCGATTTACCCTATTTGAGAGGGGAATCATCTTTCAGAAGTTAGCGAGTATGATGCAACAAAAATAACGAACCACAAAGCCTTGAGTTACGTTATTTTTGACAGCGACAACAAATAACGAGTGTCGACGAAACCAAACTTTTTCAAAAGCTTGCTAAAACCGGACAAGAAAAAAATAGATCTAGAATCATCGAACCACATGAGGACAAGTGACCACAAAACCAGCAGAACTACAATAAAAAGCTTCCTTGCCACATTGAATATTATACCTACAAACAAACAAAAATCAGGACAATTCAATTTATTTAAGATACTACCGATTTCTTGCATTATTTTTATCTGTAAGCTAAAACTAATAGTTCTATTATACTTTAGTGCCCTATGGTTAGTCGTTCCTACAATTATTGTAGGATGTCTTTATGGCCTTGTTGATTTTCATAGTTTTCTACTGTTACGTGTCAGCTCTCTGTTTTGAGGTTATGTCATACAGATCTATTTGCTTTTGATTTATATCTTATGTCTTATCGCTTTTTAAAAAAGATTATTTTTCGAAAATACAAAACTCAAAAATGTACTTTCACAAAATTATTACAATATTATACAAGTATATGTTAAGTGCAATTCATTTCTTGCCAAATAAGGCTCATTTGGAATGATTGTCTTAAATTCATCTTCAAAATGTATCGGAATTGAAAAGAGACGATATATGTTAAATTGAATGACTCATAGTATGAGAATGGGAGTGATAAAATAAATATAAGTTTCTTGCCAGAGAATAAATGGAGCTTTTGATTATTTTTTCAAAAATTGGTATGTTCTCTAGTATCTGAAGCTGGGATCGCAAATTTTTCTTGGCCTCAATAATTTCAGCTCTCCAAGAAGTTCTTTGGTTGTAATACTGCTATAGTCAATTGTCCCAAGACATGCAAAAATTTTTGAATTTTCAACATATTGTAATATTGACAGAATTACTTCGTAGATGTTTATAATTTGAAATACTTTGTCTATTATAAATGTGTAGTGATCTGAATCGATTGTGGTACGATGAAAAATTCCATAGATGGTATTGATTTTATTATTCAACAATTATTGTTCATTATTCTCTTTCAATAAGAGACAGTGGCAGGGCATTACTCCGTGTAACACTGTTGTCAGTCCTCTTTGATTATTTTTAAGTTCTCTAATTAGATTTTCGAGACGTTCACCTTCATTGGCGTCAAGGTTTCCAGTTATTGATTTGAATACCATTCCATTGTCATTTAACATGCCTCTTTTCTCTCGCTTCGTAGGGAGAAATATATTATGTAACTTTTGTTCTACTTGTCCCTGGATAAATTTTAATGTTCTGAAATAATTGGACAAACATATACTGACATTTAACTTCGAAGAAATGGTTTGTGCTATACGTGAAGAGGAAATCGATAGTTTTTCAACTTCGGATTTACATCATGATAATGAATGAGTGAAAAGTCGTAGACTTTTTCTTTCGCTTTACAAATTCCCAAGGGATGTTGTACTGGATTATTGTCGTTGTTACGTATATTTAAGCTATCCTGAAGTCAAATCGTTATCTGCAGGAATCTGTAAATGAAAAGCATATGTATGTGGTATTTGAAGAAATATAACTTGTTGCGATAAATGATCAGATTTTGTGAAGAAAACGTTTCCATATACGTGCTTCGTTTAATTTTTCAGAAACTGGTACCCTACTGTGTATAGCCGCGTCATTTTAGAAGACCGTAGACATTAAAACTAAATTTTCATTTGGCCATCGGTGTGAAATACCTAAAACGCAGATCAAGGTTGCGAACGTCTGTCCGATGCCGAATTTTATTACAAAGATGAATTTTGTCAATTTCGTGAAACAAAACAGCATGACACGTCTCGTTCTGTTGCGCTGCTCAAAATTCATGGCAGTTTTAATATCTTTGTCCCTATTCTTGGGGTGAACTTCATGATCTGGTTTTTGACAATTTTGTAAAATTTTTGATTGCTTGCAAATGGTGTAAGCTCCAACCAATTGAACAATTGAAAATATCGTGAAACTTGAATAGGTAAGATTTTAATTTCTTTCGATGACGCAAACCGAAAATTTTGGATGCTGGTATTAAAGCACTAAATTTGTGTGTTGATTTGTGGACAGTGAAGGGTTCTTAGTACTAAGACTCAAATTCTCAAGGGCTTCCTATATACCAATACCTATTGAAACTTGAAGCACTGAATGGACAAAACTAAACTGCACTTACAACACTAAGAAAACGATCTTTAGCAGCTCTTACTCCTATAAAGATCCTAGTTGGTTCCGCAATGTTGTCTTCCGCAGGCTGGAATCGTTGCGAACTTGGTCAATGTGGTCCCAAATTCCGATGCCCCTCGTATGTAGCTGCTCACGCCGGTTCCTCGATGGATTGGGTATCCGAAAATATGAATCCACTCCAGTGCTCACTCCCATTACACGAACACCACCAAGTCCAAAAGGCCGGATAGAGTCCCAGAAAGTCTCGTCGCGCGTTAGCACAGTCTTGCCTCGAGATCGCTTTTTTAAGAACATTATTTTTCGAAGATATAAAACTCAAAAATGTACTTTTCCAAAATTATTACAATATTGCTGTGATGTTAAGAGTACAAAGACTTAAAACTTACTGACTTTAAAACATATTGCGAATAATAAAGTAAGCTCTAGGTCTTCTAGGAAATTAGTAGCATTGTCGGCATTATTCCTGAGGGAGAGAAAATACTATGAAAATCAAAAAGTTCATGAAAGCGTCACACAATTGTAGGAAGGACTGACGTTACGAACCTTAACCAATATATAAAATGAAATTTTTTAACTTAGCTTAGACAGATTTAGAAATTCCGACAACAACGCTGAATAATGAAAATAGAACCTTACTAAATAAGCCCTCCCTATTTTCCGTAACTAACGGATCTTTCTTATGTCGATAACGGACAACAGACGATTGTCTCGCTTCTGCGCAACATTTGCGCAAAATGGAAATGAGGAAGATCATAACGTACCAGCAAACAAGAGCACTAAAAACTCTGTAACGAGATTGCTGCTATGAATCTGTAATATAAGCTATCGGAATCCTGGATTGGACAATTAGGTGGCAGTTCCTTAGTAGACGGCCTGGAGGCACTTTCACTTTTCGCAAGATTGGACGGTTGATCTGATACAGGGTGGTCAACATCTCTTAGACCATTTCCCTATATCAGAAACCAATGGTTAGGTATATCGGAAAATGTAGAATAGAAAAGTTTTCTGGCTTAAATCAAAGTGCACTATATACAGGGTGTTTCGTTTTGTCAGCGTGAGCAGCAAATTCCAGAGGAAATTTATAAACGAAGTCAGCAACGTCAGAACGGCAACCCTGTAGGGGAGGAGCTTCCACAGGGATGGACCAATGCTAATTTCATTTTATTATTTTTGTTATTCCATATTCGAAATTCGATATTTGACACTAACCTTCATTCCATTATACCTATTTAGTATACAGTTTGACAACTGAGTTATTACATTAGCTGGACCAGGCAGTATTTTAATCTTAAAAAAATTGTAGGATTTGAAATTTGGAGGTTGCTGGCTGTAGGGGGTCGGGGTAGGCTTATCAAAATTAGTTATTGTTAGTATACTTATACGCTCTCAACTCCGGCAATTCTCTGCGCCTTTAAAACGGAATGATGGTGATATGTTTTAAATCCCCAAACTACCTAAGCTCACTGCCCAGCCTACCGGTCCGGCTG